CAAAATTTTCCAAGAAAATGAAAATTTTCAGTTTTCCAAATTGTATGTAAAGTAGAAAAGTGATTTTTACAGTTTTCCAAATTTCTAAGATGAAAAATGAAAACTTCACCGGTTTCAACCAAACGCGTTTTCTAAAATTTTCATTGAAAATTGAAAACGAAAACTCAACTCTATTTTCTGAAAACATTTTCTTAGAAAATGAAAACAGTTTTCCACAACCAAACACACCATTAGATCGTGTTTTGTATTTTTCATATTAAGACATCTCTATCCATAACCTTGTTGTATTAGACCTGGTAAACGTATAAACATGTTGTCTCGTGTTGAGTTGAAAGAAGTTGACACTTAAACTAGTTGAATGTGATCATGTCACCATGTTTATTTAAAAGATTTGAAATCTTTTGTCAAAACCAATTTATTTTGTCTCGACTATGTGTCACATTAGTGAGTTTATAGTTTAAACCTTGGAAATATGTTGTGTCTTGTTGAATTAAAACACTAAGCGGGTTGAAAAAACTTGACCAAAGACTAACTTGCTTAACTTCTGTTTTGTGTCAATCCATTTTATTTAAATATGTTAAAATCGTTTACCGAAACTCGTTTATTTCGTGACAGATTAAACACCAAGTGGGTTGGAAGAGATTGACCACATCACTTGTTTAATTTCCTTATACATATCATTTCTATCCTTTTACTTAAACGAGTTATACTCTCATACCAAAACTCATTTATTTCATGTCAGCTAAGCATGAATGTCATTTTTGTTGGCTTTAACTTTTATATTTATCCAAAAAAGAATATGAAAAATAATGCAAAATAAAGTCTTCTACAACAAATTACACTATTTATTACTAAAATTGAAAATTTTTGATACATATTTTATTTTCTAACTTTTTTATATAAAGTTTTAAAAACAACATTTATATTTATTAGTTTTTTTTCAAACTTGATATTATGTTTTAAATTATTAAAATATACTAACTTTAAATGAATTGGAAACATAAAATTTGGATTCAATTTATATTATAAATTATTACCAGTTTAGTTTATATAATATCACAAAGTAATTAACACTATTAAATATCGACTATTGTTATGTAAATCATAAAATATAAATGATTAAATTCAGAGTTTATGGATAAATTTGTATCAACGCAACTTAGCATTATATTTAATGTTAATGAATAGTATAAGACCATATTTATTATTATACTATTACTAACATCAAATTTGATGTACGTGTTGGGTTGGATCAATCCTAAAATAGTGTAAAAATTGACTTTAGTGTTAAGTTAGCATTATCTTAATCATCACATTTCATTTTATTTGACGCATATAAATTAGCTTATTTTTCGAGCTCATTGAAATCGATATTTGTAAGACCATAAAAAAAATATCGTAACTTATAAATTAGCTTTTTTATAGACTATTTTTTAAAAAAAAATTATTGATAAACTAGCTTATAACTTAGGTGTTTTTTGTTTTTTCGAAACGAAAATGTCTGAAGTCTGCGGACGACATCTGCAACCATCTGCAGAAGAGGTGGATGAAATAACTGCAACATGTAATAAGAAGTCTATTTGTTTTTTAACGTCTGCAGTCTGTTGTAATAAATTAAAATTAACCATACAATAGTTAAAAATAATATTTAGTTTAATCATATGCAAATCAAATATAAAGATCATTGCGATGATATGATTTTTAAAGATGTTTATACAAAATAATTAAACATAGTGTTTGCTAAATAACAATAAATAAAATTATTAATTTAACGAACATCATGTTCATTTTGTTAATTTTTTGAAGACGATGATTATTTTTTCGGTTAGCTTCAATAAATTTAGTAATTTTAGTGATTAACTTTATAATTTATTAAAATTTGGTTATATGCAATGTAACACAAAAAAATATTTATATGAAATTTACCAAATGGTTTTGAAATTATATAAAATATACTCGAATTGTTTATAATATCTTTCATAATATTATTAAAATAATAAACATGTTGAAAAAAAATTAAAACAACTCTATATTGAATAATATAACTTAAAATAATAAACATTTTGAAATTATACAAACAACCCCTTAAAAACCAACTTTTTAACTAGTGCGCCCAAACACAACCATCATGGTTTTATACTAAATTTGATTTTTTTCCAATACCAAAATAAGTACAATTCAATTTGAAAGTAATTACTTCATTATATGAATACTATGTTGCTAATAAATAGTTAAACACATGCTTCTTGCTTATTCGAATAAATTTATTGTCCTATCAAAATTGAAATAATTAACCACTATGAATTTTAGTTGGACATTCCTTTCATTAATATTTAGTTAGACATTCGTATGTGGAATATACACAAAACATAGAAATCTTGCCTTAAGTGAATGCAAATACACAATGTAAAGAAAAGGTTGTTGGATATGAAAGTTGGCCATTTACATGACCAAAAATAGGAGCTTTTGGGATTAGTTTCACTCCTAAAGGGGGGTAATATACCCAACCCAAATTAGTTAGATGGCCATAGTGTAACTTTCTATTTTTGCTCTCTTATTTAGATCTTAACTTACGTCAAAAATATTGCTTGGCGGAAAATAATTTAAAGAAACTACCACGGTTTAATGTCATATTTAATAACAGACATGCGATTGTTATGTATGATCAAGGTTGTCAATCGGGATCCTACATAGATCGTTTTTGGGTTTGCAAGATCGGAATCGGGATCCTAAGATCCTACAAAATGAAACATAATTTTAATTTATAATTTTAATACATGAAAAATATTTTAAACATTCAATTTTTTGTTAAAAAGTTATAAAAACTTCAAAATATTAGTCATAAGTCACAACATAAAATGATAAACGGTAACTTGGTAAACGGGTAAAAGACATAAAGTGGTAAAATGTTTTCATTTGGCAAAAAAAAAAAAAAAACAAGGAAAGGTAGGATCGGATCGGATCCCGATCGTACCTACGATCTTACGATCCTACCTGCGATCCTACCCAAAATACGATCCGTTTACGATCCGGATTGTTTTTCATACCTAGGATCGTAGGATCGTAAGATCCTACGATCAGGATCGCGATTTTGACAACCATGTGTATGATATTTTTAACTAAATATTTATCGATTTATTAGTAATTAATTAACGATTCGTTTTTTTAGTTGTTATAATTTTGTATGAAATCTTTTAATATTATATAATCTTCTTTAATATATATATATATATATATATATATATATATATATATATATATATATATATATATATATATCCCATTTAGTCATTCTTTTTAAACTTATTTTATGTACAACTATTGCTTATTCATAAAATTTTATATATGGATCCTGAGTGAAAATCTTAGTTGGGTATTTTTGGGATATTTATTAAAATAACTGTTAGGTTCCGTTTGATAGTTTCTGTCTGGGAAAGTGTTGTCTGGTAAAATGTTGTCTAGGAAAGTTTTCTGACTGGAAAAGAAACCATGTTGTTTGATTGTACATCTGATTAACTGTGCTGAATGATGAAAAATGACCCGGTTTATGTCCGATAGTGGTGGGATGGATGAGATTTTTTTAAATAAATTAGGATGGTGGTGATATTGTCCACAAAAATGAATTAATCCACTAAAAATTAATTAAAAAAATTAACTAAAAGAAATTAATAATCCAATAAAGTAATATTTATTAATATATAAATAATATATATTGTAAATAATATTTATGAATATATAATAATCCAATAAAAAGAATTAATCCATAAAAATGAAATTAAAAAAAAAAGAATTATTTAAAAGAACTTAATAATCTAATAAAATAATATTTATTAATACATAAATATTATATATTAAAATAATATTTCTTAATATAAAATAATACATTAAAAACGTAATAATTCAATAAAAAATAAATTTAAAAAAGTTATTTAAAAAAATTAATAATCCAAGAAAGAAAGAAAGAGGCGGGGTTTGATGCATAATTGTCTTTCCAGCCCATTCAGCCAGAAAGATATGATTTTGGGGCTTTCAGGGAAAGACATATCTTACCGGGAAAGACCCCTTTTTTGTGCAAATCAAATAGTCTTTCCGGTCCATTCAGCCAAAAAATCTGTTTAGACCTGGAAAGATGCGTATCAAACGGAGCCTTAGTATCATGCGAACAAATAAAAATTGTTTTGTTCATATAAACATGTGTTAGATATACATTAAATAAACAAGAAGTTATGTATCAATATATTTTACAAGGCTTATCACATAGGAATAAATCAGTAAACATTAACAGTATTTAAACATAAAATTTGAATATTAAATTTATTTAAAAAGTTTTGCTCCTCAATATAAACCTATTATTTCACTCAACGTTTACGTGTCAATAGTATTATTGTAAATTAAACATTATCCGTTATTTAATTATAAACTTATAATCAGTCATTTCAAAATAAAAGTATATTTTATAAAATAAACCGAAAATTCGCTCTTAATTAACAAGACAAAAATAAGTGTCTATTTCAGAATTTATTAAAGATAAAAACAATTGAATCTAAGAAGAGCGCATTTAGTAGTGAGGGTGTCGCAAGCAAGTCTAGTCCGCGTAACCCCTTTGCCAGCTGTAAGGTCATGGATTTGATCTCGTGTACGGTGGGCTCCACCGGGCCCTACCCGCATACTCCGGCCCACGTATATTTGGGCTAAACTGAATATTTCACAATTCACCCCTTTAAAATATAATATTTTATTTTTAATCCATGTTAGTGTGTTTTATTTATAATTGTTTCGATACTTAGATGTTCACTTATTTTAGTATTAATATTTAAATACCCCTGAACGATTTACTCTCTTGGATACTATTGTTAGGACTTAAAAGAAAAACATATTTCGAAAAGTGGACTATGTTTGTAGTATTTATAAGTTACAGGGGGCAATGTTATAAATTTATTAATCTTACACAACACTCCCCTATAAACATGTAACTCCTATATCTCTTACACTCCTCCATCATCATTCTTTCTCTCTCTAAAACACCTTCATATGCTTCTGAATTCTGGAGTGAGAAATTCGTATGAAAAGAAGCACGCATACAGTATGTTTTACTGTGTGTAACTCTTTCTTGGCAACTGCACCCACAACATAATCATCATCTTCCACCGGTGATTACCTTTGAAATAATTCGAATCTAGACACGTTTATGTAATTTGATGGCGAAAAGCGAGGTGTTTGAAGGGGATCAGAGCGTGGCGGTGGCGAAGGTCACGACGGAGTTGAAGAAGGAATTGCATAGACTTGTGAAAGCGATTATTGAAGATTCATCATCGGAGGATGAAAATGGATTTGGATGTATTGACAGAGCGAATCAGACTTTGCAAGCTTTGAAGGAATTGAAAGAGGGAGGAGGGAAACAACGATCGTCTTCGATTAAACGGCTCAATGATAATAATCGTAACAACAATGAAAGTTCGACGTCGGTTTGGGCTTCTTGTCCACAGGAATTTCGTTGCCCTCTGTCTAAAGAACTCATGAGAGATCCTGTTATCCTCTCTACTGGTCAGGTAGTTTTTCTATTCAATTTCTCTATTCCATTGGTTTCGTGTGTTTGTTATTTTCACTTTTTTTGTGAATATGTCGACGAGTTCTTGCCGTGGACGTGTTAGATTAATGTCTATTTTACGATAATATTCTTATTTCACTGAAATCAGACTAAATTTCATGGTTTTATCAATTTGAAGAATCACAGCTAGGGTTCCTTCCTATGAACTTTCATATTCGTGATTTAGCTCTGCTAATTTACTGAATTCTGATCATTTTGGTGATAATTTGCAGACATACGATAGGCCTTTTATCCAGAAATGGTTGAAAGCTGGAAACAGGATATGTCCTAGAACCCAACAAGTTCTTTCACACACCATTTTAACCCCAAATCACTTGGTCAGAGACATGATAACACAATGGTGTAAGAATCGTGGAGTCCAATTCCCTGGTCCTCTCCAATATCCTGAACAAGACGGGCTAACGGAAGCTGATCGTGATCTTTTCATCTCTCTTCTCAAGAAAATGTCATCTACACAACCTGAGCAAAAAGAAGCTGCCAGAACTTTAAGATCATTAACAAAAAGAATGCCTTCATTTCGTGCATTATTTGGTGAGTCTCTTGAAGCCATACCTCAGTTACTAACACCATTAGCCCAAAACAAATCTCAAACCGAAATCCACCCTGATCTTCAAGAAGATCTGATCACAACACTTCTGAATCTCTCAATCCATGACAACAACAAGAAACTCGTTGCAGAGACACCAATGGTGATACCTCTGTTACTGGACGCATTAAGATCTGGAACAATTGAAACAAGAAGCAATGCAGCTGCTACCCTTTTCACTTTATCAGCTCTCGATTCCAATAAGTCCTTAATTGGAAAAGCAGGTGCTTTGAAACCACTTATTGATCTCTTGGAAGAAGGGCATCCATTAGCAATGAAAGATGTTGCTTCTGCTATCTTTAATTTATGTATCACCCATGAAAATAAAGCTAGAGCTGTAAGAGATGGTGGTGTAAGGGCACTTTTGAATAAAATCAAGAACAGGGTCCATGTAGATGAGTTATTAGCCATTCTCGCGATGCTTTCAAGCAACCAAAAAGCTGTTGAAGAAATGGGGGATCTTGGAGCTGTTTCTTGTTTGCTTTCTTTAATAAAGGAGACCAATTGTGCACGAAATAAAGAAAACTGTATTGCTGTTTTATACACAATTTGTTACTATGATCGAACAAAATGGAAGGAAATGAGGGAAGAAGAGAGTAATTATGGAACACTTTCTCAAATCGTGCAAAATGGGACTTCAAGGGCAAAAAGGAAAGCTAGTGGGATTCTTGATAGGCTCAATAGAGCCATCAATCTCACACACACCGCTTGAGACTTGAGAAGTTCAAGGGGTTTTCTGTAAATTCAACATCTTCATTCATGTCAGGTTTGAGTTTTTAGTTAATTTTGTTGTGTCTTTACTCTTTTTCAACCTCAATTTTGTAAATTCTTGTCTCGGGTTTGAAGGTCATATAATATAGTCAATGTAAATAATTATGCTTATATATTTATATATATTTTTTTTATTTTCTATAAATTCTGCACATGAAGTGTTAGTGTGGTGTTGATGGGTATAAATTATTCACTAGCGATCAATCAAGTCAACCAAGATCATATTTGCTGTATTAGTTTTTGTCCATTAATTGTTGCACATGGTTTTGTTGTAACTTTCCATACATGGTGGAGATGGATTTTGGAAATTGTTTGCTTCTTCCAATTCCTATGTCTTTTCCAATCTAATTAAGTGTTTATTTGGAGAATAATTGTTGAAATTATTGATGGATAAAAAGATGAGGTGAATGGTTGAGAATAAAAATGGGAAGAATATGCCATGATCAAAAGGGCATATCGTGTCTTTTTGTGTGTGTGTATGTGAGATGGATAGATTTGTCCATCAATCCAAGATGCCACCCATCCTTTTTTTTTTATCAAAGTCTTCATTGAAAACAGCTGACACTTCATCATGTCACCACCACTCTACATGGGAATATGGGTATATTATGCATTGTAAATGTAAAAGGTAACAAGTAACTTTTTGAATAACTTTAAAAAATTGAGTTTTTATCTCTTTAAACATATGTGGGTAACATATATATACCACAAACAAGTTTTTTAGGCGTGAATGATAGTATAATTAGTTGTTATTATAAAAAAAATATGTAATTGTATTGAATAGTTTTTTTGGGAAGTTGTTTGTATTGAATACAAATACAAAATCACTAGAAGTTGTTTGGTTGATATTTGAGTATGCAAAATGGTTGTTGAATGCTTGAATGAGTAAAAAAGACAAGAAGATATGTAAGGGGGAAAAGGATGATAGAGCGAAAATAGAAGAAGGAGAAAGGCATCTTTTGCATTTAAAAAAATGCGGTGGTCCAAAATCGCATGAATCATAAAGGAAGGCTTAAAGTACAAAACACACATCGAAGAAAAAGAAAAGTTATTGCTTACTTAAAAGCTTAACATCCATATTTATTCCTCCAACAAATCACTTTAATTCATATATAACCGAATAAAAAAATATGATTATTATTATTATTATTGTTTTGCAATTCTTAACAGATCTAACCCACATTGTGAGATGTGATTTTTATTTTCCATTTTTTAAATTTTTTTAGGTTTGTGTGTGTATTGGGTTCATTAAAAACAATTTCGCAATTCGTAAACAGTTGGTCTTTTGTATTATTTATTGAAAAAGGTTCAATTAGTTAAATAGCGGTCATTTTTATCTCTTAATTTAATTTTATACCAAGTTTGACTATTTGATGTATTTTGTTAGTAAAATAAATAGAAAAAAATAAATATTGTCCCAACTATATTAAGGTTGTATTCCTTATACGTTTTAGTTGTCTTTTCTTCCTTACATATTCAATCTCCATCAAAACATTGTAGAAAGAATTCAGAAAATATTCGTTCTAACTTAAAACAATTGCAACTCGTTATACGTTATGATCTAATCTTATAAATTATCATATATCTAAAATGTTTTGTCATAAAACAATATATATATATTCTACCCATCAAACTCAATTTCTTTGATAATTTATGATAATTACTAAATATATATTGTTGTGTTTAAGTTTCTTTTTAGAATAAAAATAACAAAAATCTAATATTTTGTTTTGACTTGAGGCTAGGGTTATATCTTAAAAGGTAAAAAGATTCTTTGTTGGATATCTGTGGGTGGATTTATATCCATTGGTGGAGATTTGCCATTAAATCACGCAACTATTGACCGTTAAAAGAAATAAAATAGTGTTAGCCACTTGTTATTTAATCCCACGTATCATCCTCATTGTTAGTGCATCACTACGACTTTTATGTCTTCCCATGTTTAAATAGTGATATGTATTCTAAAAAAAATTCAAAAGGTACATACATCATTACACTTTAACAAACTTTTCTTCGTCACTATTTGTAGAAATATGGAATTTTCATATTTTCTTGTTAAAAAACAATGGGTTATTATTATTATTATATATATATTATGGAAATTGTTTGTTATGAATAGTGAACTTCCATAATTTTTGTTTATTTTAGTACATGGACTTTATGTTGTTTTTTTTGGCAGAATTGGTCCTGTATTTTGGCAACTTTGGTTCTCATTTTTTAGCCATTTTGACACTTTTGGTCCTTGTAATCGATATTTTTACATTTTTTATGAACCTTTTAATATTTAAAGTTTGGCCACAAAACTTTAACGGTTTGACAACTTTGATCCCTTTTCTATTTAGGAACCTTTTAATATTTAAAGTTTGGCCACAAAACTTTAACGGTTTGACAACTTTGGTCCTCATTTTTAGCCATTTTGACACTTTTGGTCCTTGTAATCGATATTTTTACATTTTTTAGGAACCTTTTAATATTTAAAGTTTGGCCACAAAACTTTAACGGTTTGACAACTTTGATCCCTTTTCTATTTAGGAACCTTATAATATTTAAAGTTTGGCCACAAAACTTTAACGGTTTGACAACTTTGGTCCTCATTTTTTAGCCATTTTGACACTTTTGGACGTTATAATCGATATTTTTACATTTTTTAGGAACCTTTTAATATTTAAAGTTTGGCCACAAAACTTTAACGGTTTGACAACTTTGATCCCTTTTCTATTTAGGAACCTTTCAATATTTAAAGTTTGGCCACAAAACTTTAACGGTTCGACAACTTTGATCCATTTTCTAAAAACTTGCTAATTCCTACCGCTTTAATTCTTTAGCCATTTTGACACTTCTGGTCCTTGCAGTCAAAACTTTTATATTTTTTCATAAAAACATGAACAAAACGGTCCGGGGCAAAGCCCGGGCTTGTCATCCTTGCACTTTCTACGTCTGTCATATTTATCGATTCGGAAACAACATTGAAAGCTTCTGGCCCCCACGTAGCAGGGGTAACCTTTCTAGTTTGTATTACTTTTTTTGGTTGTATTTATTTCTTCTTGGTGTAGCTTGCCTTGGTTTTGTTTAACCTTTTATGATTAAAACTTACCATAATAATATACATATTTTTTTGAAACAAAAAATCTATCCTACCCCTAAAATTCACATATGTCCAGGACATGACATGAACTCTCAACCTCAAAGAGGAAGGGCAACACCAAATATTGTTGGGCTATAAGGTCTTTGGTCATATATATACTCTAATCCTATAATTTAATAATCAAATTTGGTCAAATAGGTTATAAAAATAATGTTTCATAGAGTTTAATTAGTTAGGAAATGCCAAAAGCAACATTTTGTGTGAATGAGCAGAGAGACGTTTTATAAAGGAGGGATACAAAGGGATTGATATGTTTTATAAAGGAGGGATACAAAGGGAATGAGTAAACTTTACTTTACTTTTTAATCATCAATTCTCTAATTTTTTTAAACAATTAGATAATAATAGGTTTATATATAAATTATTCATTAACATGACCATATTTTTATAAGTTTAGCATATCAAGGTAACCATATTTTTAGCTTATATCACAAAATAACAACCTATTCTGTAAAAAAGAAAAAACCTATAAATTTGTGAGATTGTTTTTTCTAACACAGAAAGATTATTTTTGTCATAAAGCTCATGTATTTGCAAAAATAATCACAGCTCGTAAATTAAGGAATGTTTTTGCGAGAATATATATTTCGCTGATTTTGAAAAATCTGGATAAATTGTTAATGTGTACGGCATCTAGTGAGGAACAAGGTCCTAGAAAACATATATCTTAACCATTTCTAGTACACATTGTTTAATTATATTTTTAAGATATATTTATCCAATTTTGAGATTTTTTCAAATTCGTAAAAGGATATGTTATCCTCATGAAAATATTTAAAAATTCAAGAGCTTCGAGTATTTTCATGAATTCGAAAGCTTTATGACAAAAATAATCTCACGAATTCACAGACTAGATGATTATTTTGTGATAAACATTGAAAATATGGTTACCTTGGTATCCTAAACTATAGTCATTTTTAGTGAATAATTCTTTATTTATCGGAACAACAAAGACTAAAAATAAAAATAGATTTCTTTTACCGATATTGATATGAACACACATAAATAACGAATAGTATTAAAACCTACATCAAACACACAATGATAAAACATTTATATACATGTGATGAAGCTCGACTTTGAATTAACCAATGATCTTTACTCCAACTTAAACTATTTTTTTTCTTATTATTATTTAGAAAATGGATGCATCATGGGTGAGAGAGACAAGTCATGTAATAATATATAACCAATTTCCACATGGATCCAAGAGGTATCATTATTCATTACTAATCCTGGCAATACAAACAAAACTATAAAATACGAGTGGATATGTTTCTTCTTGTTTGTGTAAGTGTAAGTAAAAGCATATCTAGGAATACTCAAAATCTATAACCAAAACACCCAAAAACCTACTTGGGAACTGCTAATTATCAAGAATCTACATTGGGTTATGGCGCCTAAGCATTAAACTAATATAAACTTAAACAGATAATCCATTTCCCCAATAAATTCCTCTATCCAAGAATATTATATATATACATGCGCTTAATTCGTGTTTAATTGATACAAGTCACAAGGCATTGGTCATTGGATATATGCACTTATGTGACTTAACTGATGTACGATACAGGTCACAATGCAAAATGGGCATCAGACGATATATGTTTTGATTTAAAATATATGACTTCTTAATGTTAAGTGAGCATATGATGATAGATTTATATATAGGTTTGTCCAATTTTTGCTAAGCGAGTTATGGAGTTATGTTGACTTGTATTTATGTTGGTATTTTCTTGTCTAAAAAGTGGTTGCATGTAGTGACTAGTGCAGTGAGTAGTAATCATAGGTTCATC